GGGACACTGAGCCAGAGACCCGATATTTATTTCTCGGGGCGGGGGGGCGCCTGAGGGGGAGCAGAGGAGGGGGCTGGCCAGGGCCCTGCCTCCTGCTTGCAGAGTCAAGGGTGTCAGGGTGCTCACCAGGACCCCGGGGTTCAAGCCGCCCCCCCATCTTGTGAGAGCATTTCATCACTACATAATGGTGAATGGGCTCTCAGCAGACGGGGAAAGAGGGGGGATGCCCCTTCCCATGGGGAGCACCTGCCCCACCCACAACACCCCCAGTCAACCTTGCCTTTGCCCACATGGGGATGGGGGGAAACCCTTTTTCTGGGCTGTTTCCTGCCACACTTTTCTTTCCTGTGTGACTATCACCGCCCCTCTCACACCCTAAAGCAAGCCTCTTGCCCCAGACATCCCTTTCCCACGGCAGAGGGTCGGGGGGACTGGGGGTGGGGGAAGGGAACCCCAACTTTGAGGAAGGAGCCAATGAGAGCAGACCTGGAGGCAGAAAACTGCTTCCAAGAATTTAGAGGCGTCTGACTGGGGGCAGCTCGCCCTTGTCCCTTGGGCTTTGAATGGGGACGGGGGCACATCCCTTACAGTTGACTTGGGGGACAGCAGTGAGCCCTCTTGCCCTTTTGAAGGGCAACGAGACACGCAAATGGAGTCGGACAGGCTGGAGCAGGACCAGGGCTGGGCCTCCGGGTTGTGGGGCTGATGCCGACACACTTACGCTCTATCTTCCTGGGGAGGGGAACCGGTGCGGCTCAGCCCTGGCGGCCCTGGGGTCCGAGCCCCCCTGGCGTCTGCAGCAGCCTCTCGAGGGTGAGCCACAGGGGACGGCAAGCAGGAACCTTCCCGGTGCCGGTGCCACCGCTCTTCCCAGGCATGCCGGGCCAGGAGCTGGCCACTGCTCCCAGCCAGCAGCGGGCAAGCCTCCCCCCTTACCTTCATTCCAGGGTCTAGCCAGGAGCTCAGACATCACGCATCCCAGTCTCTCCAGAATGCCCCAGTCAGCGGGGCCACCCCCTAGGCCAGCCTCCCCAGACGCAAGACGGGGCTGGAGCCAGAGAAGGCCACAGCACCTGGTCCAGTCGAGGTCAGACCCCTCACCGTCCTGCTGGTCCCTGGAGCCTGGGGTCTGGCCTGTGCTGCCTCCTCGCCCCTCGAAGCCCCCGCACCCTCAGAGAAGAACAACTTCATCTGTTTGGGGGTAGTGGTCTAATCCTCAGGCTGTAAGAGGTCCGCCGGCCTGACCTGCAGCGGCCCCTCGCTCCCACTCCACCTTCCTGAGCTGATACCAGAGAAGCCTCACCGCCCCAGCTGCTTCCTAAACATTTATTTATAGCTCCGCCAGGTGAGTAGTGGAAGACGGCGGCCCCCGAGTGGGCTCCTCGAGCCCCTCCCCGGGAGGCACGTCCAGGTGCATCTCCAGCCCTGCCGGCAGGTCTGCCTTCTCGCTGGGGCTGGGCAGGAGGGCCATGTTGGGCTGGGAGAGGCGCCCCTCGGAGGAGACGGGCCTGTCTTTCTGCTGCTGAGGAGGAGCTGCGAGACAGGAGGGGCTGAGATGGCGCTGTTCCCCCCTCCCCACGCCCAACCCAGCTTGTCCAAAGCCCAGGGAAGTTGCGAGCAGCCAGGCTGAGCCGGGGCTTCAAGCTGGAGTGGGGCAAGCCCTCCTACAAGCCCCCTAAGCAAAGTGCTTTTGTATCTGAGTTAAAAATAAACAAGCCTACATCGGGGGCCAAGAGCCTGCCTCTTTGGTAACCTTCCCCCTATTAATACAGGGACTATTTAGGCAGTATTAACACAAACAGGTGCAGGAGTTTTCCCTAAGACTACCCACCCTCTCTCTCCTGCTCCCAGAATATTGTAAGTGCCTTTGGAGTAGACAGTTTAGGGCTGGGGAGAAAAAAGCTAAGTACTCCTAAGGAAACAGTTCTGGGAGCCAGAGCCACACACCTGTGCTGTCTGTCCATTGCTGGATGCTGTATCCCCTCTGTCACCAGCCCTGGCTCTGGGGCCAGGTGGCTTGGCTTTGAATTCCTTGCTGTGTGACCTTGGGCAAGTACTTTGACCTCTCTGTGCCCCAGCTTTCTCAGCCCTCCCTTTTAATGTGTGTGAGTATTAAAATTGGTTCATATGTGTAAAGTTCCTCAGCAGGGCCTGGCCGGCGAGGGACCCTCACTAAAGGCGAGGCAGCGTGGCCGCCAGGCAGCTGCTGAGTGCTGGAACTGTAAGGGATGGTAACGCGACCTGGGGCTGGGGCTGTGGGCTCCTGAACCTCCTACAAGCATCTGCAAAGCACTGTGGGTATCAAATGTTCTATGGGAAGAAAGTCAGCACCTTTCTTACACTCTCAGTGGGGCCTAACTCTGAGCAGCACTAATCCACCATCCCTTTATAGACAGATGAGGAAATTGGTCTGGAGAAGGGGGAGATGTGCTCAGAGTCATCCAGAAGTGATGCAGCCTCCTGGCTGCAGGCCAGTGTCCCTCTCTGGTGTCCACCTGTGGCTGAACCCGAGGGGGGCCTTCACCCTCTGACTTTCAAGCAGGATTTAGCCCCTCTGGGGATAGCGGGGACTCCAGGAGAGCCGGAGCACGTGAGCAAGAGGAGGACTTGGGCCTGGAGCCAGAGCTTGGGCAGCAGCCCTGCCCCTATTTCCCCTTCTGTGAAACATGGGCACTCAGAGCATCAGCTTCACAGACCGGGCACCTGTCAAGCCTTCAGTAATGGTGGGTTTTCTGTCCTCCCTTCCATCCCACCCCTCAGCTCCCAGGCCTTCCTCTCTCCAGGGAACTAAAGGTTTACACCAGCCGCGGGCAGGAAAGGGGCCTGGCGGGCCAAGGAGGAAAGGCTGGGGGCAGTGGCGGAGCCACCAGCCAGAGAGGAGCTACCTGAGTTGTTGCCAGCCACCATCTGAGCGCTCTGAGGCCGGGAGGGCAGATGGCTGCTGTCACTGAGGGACCGCTGCTGGCGGACGTGGGGCCGGGACTGCTTGGCCTTGTGCTTTGTAATTCCTGAGTCTGCCAGGAGACAGTGGAGGGGAGGGTTGGTTCTGGGAGCTCTGTGTGGACCCGTGGGGGTGGGGAGGGCTGCTGGTCATGGCTGGCCTCAGCTGGCATCCTTCTCTGTCTGAGTTCCTGGATCTACCCCTTAGAAGCCCTTCCTTCACTCATATGTTTGTCCATCTATCCATCCACCCACTCACTTGGAGTCCCGCCCACACACATGAGGCTGTGCCAGGTGCTGGGTGAGTTCTGACCCCGGGTTTACAGGTTGGGAGGGCAGGCAATAGAAAGGTGCACATATGCTTTCAGAGCCGGTGGGAAGTGATCAACGGCATAATTCAGGTACAGCTGCCCCAGAGGGAACATTCACTACGTGGATGCAGGGCTCAGGAGAGGGCAGTTTTAGTTTGGAAGAACGGGAAGGACTTGGCCTCGGTGATGCTAGGAACAGAGGCTTAGGCAGGAAAACCAGGGCGGCAGCCTGAGGGTGAAGGCTGGCAAGAAAAGATGGGGCCATGACATCCCAGCAA